AATATATACCGTACTATAATGTAGTAGCTTCCGTTTGCCCCTTATCTCTATATAAGATGATATCTTAGCTTCAGCTCTCGGCGGGAAAGCCCATGGCATGGGCCAGCAAGGCCAAGCTTGCCTGAAGAATCGTCTCGTCGGCTATTGGGTTGCTGTCTGAGATGCCCGCGGTCGGCTCTGCAGGTTCTGCCTCCTGCGTTGCTTTGTCTTGCGCTTCAGCCGGCTGCGCCTGCTCGTTGAAGGACTCTCCCTGAGGCGTGAGAGCGGTCTCCCCGACGTCGATCGGTGGTTCCGACTTATCATCCGAAACCTCCTGGTCAGAGTCCTGGAGCATCTCGCGCCGAACTCTGCCAGCCATGTGTAATGAACGAGGCTGCCACTCTGGAGCTGCTGTGAGGTTCGAAGGCTTGGGATTGGGAGGCAACGGCAAGGTGACATATGTGGGGCTCGGCGCCCTCAGGGCCACAGGACCTGCTGCCATCCGCGGACCTCCTTGCAACATTAGCTGAATACATTCGCTCCCTTCAAAGTTGTAGTACTCCAAGGTATGCTGGTTCTGAAGCGTCCTGCCGCAGTGAATCAAAATCTGCTGCTCGGCACTGACCTGGAAGAATTCTTCTAGCCTCTCTTTAAGTTGTCCAATGGTACGAGCTTTCTGCAGCCACAAGCGCTGTTTTCGTTGAGGCGGCCATGTCTGAAGAACTGTCAAGAAGAGACATGAGCCTTGACAGCGATGCTTCTTTGCGCTGGCATCCATCTGCGCCCGCGGCGCTCGGCAGCCCGATGTTGCAATGGATGGCTTTGGCGCACTTGCAGCACCATTGGTGCAAGTCACCTGAAGGATGGAGTTCTCGTGGATCCCACAATCGCACAGGCGTCGCTCGTTGGCCAGCGTGTGTCCACTGAGAGTCAGGCGTTGGCTATCCAGTCTGAGACCGCTGAGCTCAGCAATCTGTGTTTTGGCATGGACGACAAGATCGCATGGCCTGACCCGGATGACGAAGGGCTCAACAATGCCAGATCGAGTTGCATCAATCAAGATATCCTGGGCTCTTGTTGAAATACTATTAAGAGTGATCATTCTTTATCTATAATGGGTCTAGACATACATAAACATGCAAAATGTCATTCAGCAAGAACCCAGTATCCAGCCAACGTGTGTGACCCACTCCCGCGGCGACCGTGACGTGGATGCATCCTTTGTGGCATCACCCAGTCTACAAGCCAACATGTTGATAACCAGCCCATCCCTAATTATGACAAATTTTACTGTGATTACTAGTATGATTACCATTATTATTCTCATTATTATTACCGTTATTATTACTACTAGTATTGTTGCCATTATTATCTTCATTATTTTAGGGTTTAGGGTTCAGGTAACGACCTGACCAGTTTGTTCTTCTCTTGCCTCGTGCTTCTACGCCACCATCCAACAAGGTCTGCCGGTTCTCCAGAACGCGGCCCTGGGGGTTGGGAACACACCACTAGGGCTTATGTAGGAAGCATAGATGTTTAGGAGTTATAGGGTATCATACGTAGGGTTATTGCCCCAATAATGGAGAACTAAATGGAAAGAATGTGGAACATGAGAGTGTGTGAGGTTAGTAATATAACCCCGGTACAACCCTAACCAAGTAATAGTAATAGCTTAGGAACAGTAAAACCCTAAGCCCTAAACTCAAACTTTAAACTCTAAACCCCAAACTCTTAACCCAAAACTCTTAACCCTAAACTCCTAAACCCATGCTGCAGCAACTCCTTATTGATGCTTGCCATCCTCACGTCTGAGCTGGGAGTCTCCCCAAAGTAGGGACATCTTTAAAGGGGGATTTGGGAATTATATAGGGGTTCAGGGTTTAGGGTTGAGGGTCTAGGGTTTAGGGTCTTAGGGTCTCCCATCCCAAGATTGAGAAAACCCGCTTGGGGGTCCCTATCCTGAAGACTGTACTTTTTTGGGGCCTGCATTGGGGTTTTCTATCTATGGAAACTGCCATATGAGCTGTAGTAGAAGCTCCTAGTATATCCCTTACTAAGCCCTTTAATACTCCCCTATATAACCCCCCTTCAGGAGTTTAGACTATAGCTCATATATTCTAACCTGGGAAAACCCTCTGTTTGGGCCCTCTACACCAGAGAGTCTTCTCATCCTGAACAGCCATAGGTAGGGAGCTTCTGCATTTGTCTGCCTATATGGAGCCATAGTCTAAACTCCTAGTATCCCGCTTTGTAACCCTTATAGTAGTCCCTATGTAACCTGCTTCAAGGATTGTAACCCTAAACTCTACATCCTAAACCCCAAATCCTAAACCCCATATCCTAAACCCCAAATCCCCTAAACCCCAAATCCTAAACTCTAAATCCCAAACCCCAAATCCTAA